TCAAGCTATCCACCTACCTCAGCCTCCCAGAGTCCTGGGATTACAGGTGTGAGCCACCACACCCAACCAGGAATGGGATCTCAATGAGACCTAAGGGTGGTAGGAATGGTGTGGGACCGTGGGACCCCCACTCCCGACCCCTCCCCTACCCTCTTGTCCTTGGTCCTGCTAGGGGACCAAACTGGCTTGGGGAAATGGAGTCCACCACCAGCACTTGGTGTAGTGCCCATGAATAGTCAGGACATTGTGTTCCTAGTCATATAATCAGTTCCAGGCAAGCACAAGACCTAAAGCACCTTTCCAGAAAGAATTCCTGACCCCAGGCATCCTCTTAAGTCTCTGGGTGGTACAGAGTATGGGTATGCCCCTGGGTTTTTCTACAGTAAAGAGGCTGGCCCAAAGGTGAAGGTGACCCATAGGAGAGCAGGGTGGAGAGAGTTGCATAGCAGCTGAGCTGGAGCCCTGGGCACTTGTGCCTGCTGTTTGTCCTACTGCAGCCAGTGCTGCAGTCTGGGCTCGTTTAAGCTTCATTTTTCTGTCACTTGCAATACAAAGCATCCTTTGTGCCATGTCAGCAAGACCAAGGGAGGGCGAGGCAGCAGTGCTGGGCAGACAGTGAGCAGAGGGCCCGAGGTGGGCACAGACATGACTGGGCACAGATGTCATCCCCTGCCCACACCTGAAGAGCATACCATGGTCTGCACAGGTGATATTTGTTGGGGCAGGGGGTGACATACTATGCAGGGCCTGACAGCATCACTTGCCACCTACTGTGGGATCACAGTGGTGCAGTGCCAGCACCTCCTGGGGGGGTCTGGAGCAGCTGGATCTCCCTCCCTGCAGGGGCGGGGGGTGCGGTCATCAAATGCTCCAGGTCTTGTCCAGCCCACCATCAGCTCAAGGAGAAGCCCAGTCTCCCACTGGCCCGAAGTCCATTCTCTCAGCCTAGTCATTTTGACAGCAAACCTGTGCCCATCAAGAATGCCAGAGGCACTTACTGATTTGGGCTTGGCCACGACAGGGACTGGCTCTGGCACTGGAATGGTGCGGGGTTTAGGGGCAGTCAGGTTGAACTCCTTGGGCTCTGTGACTTTGGCCTTGGTCTTAGAAAGAGGGGAGTGAAAGGCCAACACTCCCTCCAGTTGGCTGATCAGCTGTTGGACCTCTGGCTGCCACCTTGAAGGCAAAATGGAGATGCCCCTTAGGGTCACTTCCTAACAGGTCACAGGGAATGGCCCTTGGGATCTAAAGGGCCCCCAAGCATTTCGGTCTACCTCAGGGCGGGGATGATAATGGGACAGCACCTCTTCATGGAGTGCCTACTACTTGCAGGCATGACGCCAACCACACTCTTGAAACAAATGTCAGTGTTCCCCTTGTACAGATGAGGAGACAGGCCTAGAGGCATTGGTGTCCTGGGCCACACTGGTGAGGGGGGAGGTGGAAGGACAGGGACAGCCCTACTGCAGGAATCCTGGGGCTCTGAAGAGCAGCAGTAACTGGGACAGGGAGCTAATCTGGCAAGAGCAGATGACACAGGGGAAGGAAACCAGAGCAGGAAAAGGGGCTGAGTTCAGAAAGGAACATTCAGGAACTGCCCTGCTGGCTGGGGGAGTAGGGCTGGGGAGGTGGCAGGGCACAGCCTGTTCCCCTGTAGGTTATAGCCTCAGGTGGGGGTGGTCTGGAGCAGGGTCTTGAGAAGGGCCTTACTGGGCCACTGCAAAGTCTAAGACTCCACAGCCCATCATCACCAGGCTGTCCAGCAACCCCTTCATGGTTTGAAACAGCTCCTGCCTCACCTGGAGACTCATGGCTAAGGGCCAGCAGCAAGTAGAGTCTCAGAAGGCACTCAGGGTAGTCCCCAGTGCCTCTGACTCTGGGGAAAACAGGGGAAAGGGCAGCAGCTTTGTGCTGTGGCTGGCCCAGAGTGAGCAGGGGAGAGGCTGGGGTAGGGGAGAGTGTGCTGGAATCAGGCTGAGTATCTGCCCAGAGGCTGCCCTGTAGGCGGGCAGAGTCCAGCCTGGGCAGTGGATGGGGATATCTGCAGTGCCACCCCCTATTCCTTTGGAGGTTTATCCCCATTACCAGCTGGGACAAATGACTTCCCCTCAGTGAAGGGGCATCTCCAAAGTCCCCCACTTCCTCCTCTACTCACAGAAGGGGTGTCCACCTCCCCTGGGCCTCCAGGTCTCCCACACACAGCTGGCACCTAAGTGATCCACTTGCACCAAACTCTGTACCCAGGAGGACAAAGTAGCTCCTCCAAGTCCTATCAGAAGGGACACAACTTGGGGGTCCCGGGGCCCCAGCAGGCCCTTCCATGGAGGACGCCATGGAGATATTTTGGGCTGACCCCACCAGGAGATACTTTGTCCCACCTGCCCTGACACCCTGCAGGCTAGAGGTCTGCACAGGACAGGCAGCCCCACAGCAGGTGGTCCTATCAGCCCCCACCAGGCATGGGCAGAAAGAGCCTGGGCTGGGGTGGGAGGTTGGGGGTGGGGGAGGGTCACACCCACTCTTCCACCACAGGCCGAGGACCAGCCAGGATTAGGGCTTCTCTACTCCTTTCACCCCAACACAGCACAGTCTCCCATGGGGCACTGAGCTTCTGGGTGCCTGAGCCTTCAGGAGCTTAGAGTGGCGCAGGACACCGTACCGCACCGCACCGCCCCATGCTCCGCCCAGCCTGACCCACCCACCTCATCAGTGGGCGGAGCCAGTTCTCCTCCACATGGGATGCCTCGTACACCAGGCTCCACTCGTCCTTGACCCACGAGCACAGATTCAAGGGGTTGAAGAAGAACCCAAGGAACTGAAGGAAGAGCGGAGCCTTCAGGGGCCAAGCCTGAGGCAGACCCTTCCCCTGGGGAGTCCCCCAGCCCCTCTCTGCTGCCAGCACATCCTAGCACTGAGACAGTTTTCCCAGGCCAGGGCTGCTATGGTCCCCTGGGGATGGCCCAGACCTGGCCCACAGTAGGGCCCTGGGCTCCTGAAGGCCTTTCCCTACTCCTGGCTCTCAAGTCTAACAGATCTGGCCCCAGAAGACACAATCAGCTTAGCTTTTGAGATGGAGCCCAGCCTCCAGGGGTGGAAGACAGATGCAATTCCACAACACTGGCTGTCATCAGCTGTGGAAGCACCCTCTTCCCAGCCCCCTGGGCAGCTCTGTGGGGGTCTAGGAAGGAGGAGCACCCCCTTGTCCCTAGAGACAGGCTCCTAGGACTTCTGCAGGCTCTAGCACCAAATGTGAGGTACCAGGAGAGCCCCACAGGGCAGTTTGGGAAGCATACTGGGGGGGGGGCAGGCATCGGAACAGGGGGTTCACAGGGAGGCAGCCTGGAAAGCATAAGGTGGAACAGGGTGGGGAGGGGGCCCCCATGGCAATACAGGAGTGGGGTGGGTTGGGCCTGTGGTCTCTGCTGTGCCTCCCCAGGCGACATCCCCACAGCCCTCCCTTGGGTCCCCACACTCTTCCCCACACAGAGGGCACCATGGGCTCCTTCTAGAGACTTCCAAAGTTTCCCCACTTGGCAGCCTGGCCACCCAACCCCCACCCCGTCCCTGGTCTCTTCCTGCCTTCTGTGCCCCAATAGAGCATCTTAGCCCCTTGCCCTGGACTCTGCCCCATCACCCCCTTTTCCAGCCCTCCTCACTACGTCTTCATCTTATTTTGAGACAGAGTCTTACTCTGTCACCCTGGGTAGAGTAACATGGCATCATAGATCACAGCAACCTTAGTCCGTCTCTTGGGTTCAAGTGATCCTCCTCCCTCAGCCTCCTGAGTAGCTAGGACTACAAGTATCCAACACTAGTCTTTCGATTTTTAGTACAGATGGGGTCTTGCTGTTGTTCAGGCTGGTCTTAAACTCCTGAGCTCAGGAAATCCATCCACCTTGGCCTCCCAGAGATTATAGGTGTGAGCCACTCCACCTGGCTATGTGTCCATCTTTTTAGCCCTGACACTATTCCCACCTGAGGGCACAGCTAGACCCTGGGTGGGGCACTGGGACCCTGACCCCCTTCCTCTTGGGCCACCGCCATTAGGGCATATCCTTTTTGTGCTTTCCTGAGTCCCTTGAGACTCAGCACTACTGCCCAACCTTACCCAGCTCTCCATTCCTGAGTGCCTGTCTTCACACTCAGCATCACAGTGGGGCTGCTGCCCCAGCAGCTCCTCCCCCACCCCATCCCAAACAAATGGGGTATCTGGAATGAGGCCCCATTCTCACTGGCATGTGTGGAGACAGCCCTACCAGGGAACTTACTGGAGTGGGGTAGGGTTCTAGAGTAGGCCTGAGAAAGCCCTCTGGCCATCTGGTGGATTCTAGGGAGCTAGCAGGACCAGTGGGCCCCATCTAGGGGCTGTCTCAAGGCCACTTGCCCTAGGGCACACACTGTGCTCACTGCCTTGTCACTCCTGACCACAATGGTGACTGTGCCCAAGCTGTGGTCTGGGCTTAAGCCATCCTCTCACTTTGGTCTCCCAGTAGGTGGTCTGCAGGCACCTGTCAAAGCACTGGCTGTAAGTTATCTGTCTCCAATAACTTACAGTCCTCTTCAAGGTCTAGGTTGGCCTCCTTCTGGAGCACTGAGGCAGGTGGAGGGACCCTAACAGGACCAGCATTGCCCAATCAGACACAGGGTGTAGGGCTTCCACACTAGCCCTGTAGCTTCATGGCTTCCTTGAGGATTTGTATAGGCTATTTCCATGAATCCTTTCAGCAGTTCTCTCAGACTGTAATTGCCCAGGCTCCTACGTTGCAGGCATTTCTGGACCTGAATACTCTGTCCTGGGCTGGCACTTCGAGGCTCTGTGAGCCAAAGTTGGTCCAGGGCCAGCTCCACTACTACATGGCCCAATGCAAGATGGAACATTGTTCAATAATTAATTTGTCTGGGCACAGTGACTCGCACCTGTAATCCTAGAACTCTGGGAGGCGAGGCAGGTGGATTGCCTGAGCTCAGGAGTTCGAGACCCGCCTGAGCAAGAACGAGACTCTGTCTTTACTAAAGACAGAAAAATTAGCCAGATAGTGTGGTGGGTGCCTGTAGTCCCAGCTACTCAGGACACTAAGGCCTTGAGGCATCACTTGATCCCACGAATCTGAGGTTGCTGTGAGCTATGATGCCATGGAACTATACCCAGAGTGAGACAAAGTGAGATAGAGTGAGACTCTGTTTCAAAAAAAAGAAAGAAAGAAAGAAAGAATTTCAGGATGGTGAGAATAGAGCATAAACCGAGCTCCATCTCAAAGTGCCACTCAGAAAATGCCATCAGTTTTGCTTTTTATAAAAATGAAGTCCTTGCTTAAGACAACTATAAAAATACGTATTTGTCATGAATTACTTATGAATTACTTACTACTACCTACTTTATAGGTAGATAGGAAAACCTGTTAAAAAAATAAAATGTTGGCTTCTCTTGTTTCATCTGTTAGGTGGCCAGCATGCCACATAGGTTGCTAGTCCTGGGTCTCTGGGGCTCTGATCTTTATGAGCTCCAGGTCCCCACTTTTCTGGGCAGGGAACAGCCCCTGCAGAGTTGGCTGTTTCCTTCTAGAAAGGTCCTGAAGTGCTCCTGGGCCCAAGGTCTTTCCACTGTCTTATCTAGGGAGAAGTAGCCCTCTCAGGTTGGCAACCGCCCTTCCGCACAGAGTGAGTGTTAGCAAGCAGTGGCCAAGAGCCTAGTCCAAGAACTGGCTGTGCTACCCACCTGCTATGTGACATTGGGTAAGCTACTTAAACTCTCTATGCCCTAGTTTCCTCAACTATGGCGTGACCCACAGAGGAGACCACCTCACTGGGTCATTGTGTGGGTAAAGCAAAAATAAGCACCGTGACCAGCAATAATGCTGCCTGACCAGCAAAGGGCAGCAGGCTTGGATGTTCCAGTCCACTGCCCATGGCCTGGCTGTCACAGCTTTCTACAGAAGTGGACCCAGGCAGGCAGGGGGGTGAGCTCTTGCAGGCTTCCCCTCAATGCCCCTGAAGCTGCACAGCTACCCCTGCCCTGCCTTGGAGAGGGGAAAGGCTATTTTGGGGCTGGAGTCTGGTCAGGAGTCAGGAGAGGGGATCAAGTTTCCCCAGGACAAAAAGATCACATTCACCTTTATACCTTGATGAGACTGTCAGCTGGTCAGTTGTGTGTGTATGTATGTAGGGGGAGAATCTTGCTATGTTGCCCAGGCTGGCCTTGAACTCCTGGGCTCAAGCCATCCTCTCACCTCGGCCTCCTAGTAGGTGGTCTGCAGGCACCTGTTGCGGCACTGGCTTGTCAGTTGGTTTTAAACAAAGAATAAGCCCACCAGAGTTTCTTTCTTAAACTCAATCAGAAAGATGAAAGGTCAAGGCTGAGAGACCTTTGCCCTCTGAGAAGGCAGGTGTGAGCTGCTCACCTTGCACATCTTGGCTGCAGGCTGGGACTTGATGATGCTGGAGAAGAGCTGGAAGCCGAGCTCCTCCAGCTGGAATGTGGCCAGGTAGCAGATGACTGAGGGGATAGGGAGGCCAGAGCATAGGATGACCCACAGAAGAGATGCCCAGTGTTTTATGGGGTGAGGGGCAGTGTGCTAGAGGCTAAGTGATGTCACAAGTGTAAGGGAACCAGAGCCCATGGCCTTCACAGCGTCAAGTACATGGCTATGGGCAAAAACTCCCCAAAATGACAATCTAATAAGAACCAGGCAGACACATCTTACACATAAGGGCATTTGTGTTTCTTAAAGTACTTCCACAAATACCCAATTTGTAAATTCTCAGAATATGCAAAGGTTCCCTGGGTAAAAGTGAAATCATATTGGATTTTGGGATTGGGGTAGGGGCAGAAAGGGCTCAGCCTCCCAGGATCCTGAAGCCCTCACTCCCCTCCTGAATGGGGCCCCAGGGCTGGACCATCCCCTGATGGCGATACTGGCCACCTCCCTGCCGGACAATGTCGCCCTGCCTCAGATAGCCATCATTGGCTGTGGGAAGCCCAGGCAGAGCCAGCTCTCTTATTTAACCTCACAGGACAGTCCAGTTTGTGTGTGGCCCCAGGGTCTGCCCTGCCCAATGGCCTTGGGGTCAGGAACTCTTCAGCTCCTCAGATTACTCAGGCTGGCCTTTTTGGGGACAGGGACTGTGGGCAGGGTCAGCAGGGCTGAGGTCCACCTGCTTCAAGCTTGGCCTTCGTGAGCCTGAGGCATCAGGGAAAACCCCTGTGCCCTGTGCCCAGGGCAGGTCGAAGACTGAGTGAAGAAAGGGGCTATGGGGGGCAGGCACTGTGGAAGGGCAGCACTGGCCAACTGCAACTGCTCATGTGGGCAGCCAGGACACAGCGCTTACCCTGGAAGAGGCTGTAGTCAGCCCATAGGCAGAGCCGGCCATCCCGCACATAGAAGGCGTCTACCACGATGGTCAGCAACTTCCGATACTCAAGGCACCCAGATAGAACCTCCAAAATGAATGCCTGCTTCTGGGGGCTCAGGGCCTGGAAGAGAAACAGCAAGAGGGGCACTTGGGGGTTCAGGGTGGTAGTGGGAGACACAGCGCAAAGGCAAGGGTCAGGGGCAGGCACCCCTCACATGTCTGGAAGAAGCAACTGACAGTAACCATGGCAATCAAGAACCTAACTCCTCCCCGCAGAGACTTACTACAGGGTCTCTTAGCCAGTGACAACTATGGTGAGGGTGGGTGCACAGACAAATAAACATGGAAAATGACCAATCACGAAAGGCAAATTCATAGACAGGTAGGTACCAGGGGCCGAGAGAAGGGGTGGAATTAGTGTTCAGTGGGGACCAGAGCTTCAGTCTGGGAAGATGAAAACATTCTGAAGGCTGAGTGAGGTGGCTCACACCTGCAATCAGAACACTCTGGGAGGCCAAAGTGGGAGGATGGCTTGAGCCCTGACATTTGAGGCTCAGTGAGCTGTGATCACGGCACTGCACTTCTGCTGGGCAATAGACAGCCTGTCTCCAAATAGCAACCACAAATCAGAAAGAACAATGCTCGAGCAAGGAAAATCTCTGCAAGAGTTTGTGAAGCATAAAAGACAGGTGGGCGCTGCAGTGCTGGAGGGAACGGGCTGTTCCCTATTTACCCTCGGATTGTTCTGGGGCTTGTAACCTATGTGTGATATGTGTTGTATATTCACAAAAGGAAGTTTTGAAAAGAAAGAGCACGAGAACATCCAGTGTTGCCAGCACAGCAACAGAAAGGCCTGGGGGTGGGGGTGGGGGTGATGCTGGGGGGCGTCTGTGTTTCAAGAACCTTATTTTCGGTTCAGTGCCTATAGCTCAGTGGTTAGGGTGTCGGCTGGCCCCTAGGGCTGGTGGGTTTGAACCCTGCCCGGCCTGCTAAACAACAATGACAACTACAACCAAAAA